TAATGTAAGACTAAAACATGAAAAGGTTTCCAGTCTTGGTCAATTTGACACGATAGGCTCTACAGACAAAGTGTAAGTTTCGTCGTTTGAATTGACGTTTTCATAATTCATATCAGCTTTTTGGAGGATGATAGAATACAACCTGGTCCGCAAAGTATTAATTCATGTCCGAAAATAATCACCGCCCTGTTTCAGCGTCTTAATTCTGTGTAAATCATTCTGCTTATGCATGTATCCAAATTTTGTTTGCAACTGAGGAGGTAAATAACATTTTTTCTTAACTTTTTTACCAGAATTGGCCTCGGATACAACATTCTCTACGTTTTGACTTTTTCTTCGAAACTTCAGTAACTCTTAAAAAAGAAACCTACCGGACAGGCAATATCCTACTAAATGAAGCAAGCCAGCAGTTGACAGTGCTTCTTATCCGTAGACTCTTTTCCGTAGAAAGCCTCCCCCTAATAAACGTTCGATTTTCTCTGGCGCTCTACAAGTTGGCACCGAGATAGATATAAAGTATTTCGGATGGGATGTGTTAAGATAAATGCATCCGAATTTTAACAAACAGGATAACAGCTACTCTCCTCCTAGTGGACACTGTTCTTATAACACTCCCGACATCGTCATACATCTTCCTACACCGCTTTTACAAGGACGGTGCCAAGAGTTTAACTGAATGCAGCAACGGTAACCGAACTGATATCATATCAGAGTCTTTTTAACTATGCTTTCGCGGCAACTTAACCTGATCTTTATTTCTGGTTTTTTTTCCTCGTTCTGATTTAATAGATTGCGTTGTCCTCAGTAGAAGGTCTTTATCCATGCGCAATCTCTGCTTAGAAGGACTTGTCATGAGATTGAGCAAACTATTTCGGACAAAGATCTAGCCGTCTACAGGTCTATCCCGTCCTATAGGAACCGCCTATGCAATCCCTTTTAGAAGAAGTGATTACGGGATTTAGAAGAGAGGTGAACACTTCATAAATTTCTCGAATAAATGAGCAGCTGTCACCCGGCATTCGGTATTGAAACGCGCGATATTTATAAATCCAGTTCTCATTGAAAATAGCTAAATAATTTAACAAGTTGTAGTGAAAAACATTCAATCATGGGAGTTGGATTTTTAATATGCCTGTTGGCATATTAGGCCCCAACGAATAGATTTTAATATGAATACATATATATGTGACTTTAGCAGTAGCAATAAGCAACGGTCTAGCCC